TCTCCACCCCGCACAACATGATCTACTCGACCACCATTATGATTACCGCCAAAAAAAAAAAAACCGGAGGTAAAAAAAAAGAAAATGTAATCTGGTTGCCGAGTTCACGAAGTGAATTGGCTTGTTTTACAACGTCGTTGCCAAGCGACGAAAACCCAACCCCGATGGCAAACACCGGGAGGGGCGTAGAGGGGGGGTGGTATTTACAGTCGGCCAGAGAGGTGGGTGATGTTGACCGTCAGAGGGGGAGGGGGGGTGGTATTCATCATCATGTCATCATGACCAGCAGCAGAAAAATAAATCTCTCTCTTGTTGCTGTACCTCTGGCTGTTCTTGTTCGAACTGGCAACTCAAACGCGTGTGTGATAGGGGTGACCAGACAGACTAGCACGGAAGGCACGAGCTCATTTACCACACGGCAGCAGCAGCAGGGTTGAGTTGTGGGGGCGTCATTTGATACAGAGAGAGGGATTGCTGTTCATAATCATAATGAATGCTGCCCGTACCTCATAACCTCATAAATGCAGCCCGCACCTCAACTACATGCGGCTCGCACACTCCGCACGGAAACGCGGCCCACATATGAATGCCTAGAAAAATCCCGGCCAAATGCGCCCCGCACCTGAACTACATGCGGCCCGCACACTCCGCGCGGAAACGCGGCCCACGCATGTATTGTTACGGTTATTGCGACTTTATTGTCATGGGGTTTGCGTACAAGGATCTGAACGGTACAGATGGCGCCCGCACTTAAGAACGTCGAATTTGGCGTGAGGCTTGACGCTTATTGGCAGCCTCAACCCCAGCACATGTTCTTATGGCCATGTTCTTATTCCAATCAGACATTTGGTCGCTGAAAACGGGGTTCTTGTTCTTATTTCACCGTCGAGTGCTCCAGAGGCGCACCAGGACGCCCTTTGGTGACTCGAAGCTATGTACGTGCATCGATAGGACGTGGAAATTGGCGTGTAATTTCATGCGGAAAAATAAGTTGCATCATCCCCATACAGCACGTCCATACTTCGCCGTACCATGCCCATATTGTCCATTCACCAGGCACCAAGATTACTGGCCGTCTACTTGCTGGTACAGCAGACTTTGACCGGATCTCGCACCGCAGCATCTATGCTCGTGGTTGAGTACAAATATGAAAACAAACTCCGAAGGCTTCAACCTTCTTGGTNAAGCTATGTACGTGCATCGATAGGACGTGGAAATTGGCGTGTAATTTCATGCGGAAAAATAAGTTGCATCATCCCCATACAGCACGTCCATACTTCGCCGTACCATGCCCATATTGTCCATTCACCAGGCACCAAGATTACTGGCCGTCTACTTGCTGGTACAGCAGACTTTGACCGGATCTCGCACCGCAGCATCTATGCTCGTGGTTGAGTACAAATATGAAAACAAACTCCGAAGGCTTCAACCTTCTTGGTCGATAAGGGTCACGTTCGGCCTGCGTTCCCTTCCCGCTCTGCTACCGCCCAACGTGGCTGCAGCTCCGCCCCCATCCACCTGCTCGACCGTGCTCCTCTCAAGCAAGATCCACGAGCCCACCACCGCATCCGGATCTCCTCTGTACATTTCCAACGGCAGCTTCATACTGCGCGTACTTTGGTCTAGGTCGAGATGCACACGGTAGTCGTAAAGGTGGCGAGTGCGCTTCTGAGACTGTCGAGTGATCACCCCCCCAAAACACCCCATACCCAGCCTAACGAGTACTCCACGCTGCAGTAACGAACTGTCAAGAGCTGCCGATGTAGATGCTTGAATGCGAAACCCATCCGGATTCTCCATGGCGTGAATCTTGTCGTGCGATTCCATGCTGTCGTCGTCGTCCACAAGACTCAGCTCGTCCATCTGGCNTCTGAGACTGTCGAGTGATCACCCCCCCAAAACACCCCATACCCAGCCTAACGAGTACTCCACGCTGCAGTAACGAACTGTCAAGAGCTGCCGATGTAGATGCTTGAATGCGAAACCCATCCGGATTCTCCATGGCGTGAATCTTGTCGTGCGATTCCATGCTGTCGTCGTCGTCCACAAGACTCAGCTCGTCCATCTGGCCACTGGCCGTCTCTGCAACGACGGGCACAAACGAAAACGTCGCAGAAACTGACATGTCATCTACGCAACATATATTTGACGGCAACGGCAAGGGCAAAAGCAACAGCAACAGGAAACGCAACAACAACCAAGCAGGGGAGTGAAAAACCCTGGTGGGCATCCAACTTTCCACGAGTGTCTTCGTCGCTAGAATCGCCGTCCTCCACGCCCTCGCCGCTGTGGTCCCCCCCGCCCTCAACCGTCTGGTCATTCCCACCCCCGCACCCATCGTTGCTAGTCTCGGAAGATCCCTCGTCGTCGCTGGAGTCCCCATCGCCCGCGAAGGTGTACGGCTTGTCCAGACCCTCCAAGGTGATTCGGCCATCGCCTGAACCGTCGACAGTCTTCGCCATGCCACACTTTTCGAAAAGGTGGAACCGGTATTCCTCGCGGCTGTTGAGTTCTTCCATGGCTGCCCCAACCCACTGCGTGATCAGCACGCGCCGGTCAGACGCCGTCAACGAGTTGCTTTCCCACCTTTCGACGTTGTCCGCCTGCTCCCACCACATATCCATTCGCTTCCCATCCTCCACCTTCAGAAAGCGTCCGGCTCCCGCGTCGACGGACTGCAGTTCGTCCGTGGTCTCGGTCGGAAAAAACCAGGGAAGGGTGGTGCATTGCTTGGACAGATAGTCCTTGAACTTGTCCGTCGTCTGCGCGTGCAAGTTGTCCATGAGAAGGAGGGTCCTCGCTATGGGGAGCTGGCTCCTCCCGCGCATCAAGCTCGGGCGAAAGGACTTCTTGGCCCACTCCATGCAGAAGTCCTGGTCAGCCCATGCGTTTGCTTGGAAGAAGACATCCACACTCCTGTGGTACGCGACCTTCTTCACCTTCGAGATTCGCTTCCCCGTGCCTCTGAAAATGAGGGCAATCCGCGTAACCCTCTTACCGGGACCAAAGATGACTTGCATGGTGCACTGCCTTTTCTCCAGTCCGGCAAGGGCTGGCTGACGGCTACTCGTTTCACGCCTTGCTGTGCCCACGTGATTCTCAGCCCGTTCACGAACGGCAAAGGCACCTGATCCACGTCGAAACGCTCCGACAGCTGGAACTGCCCGTACTTTCTAGCCAGCCTGGGCTCCTCCGCACCACCCGTAGACAGTGATGCACTCTCAGGGAAGACTACCTTCCTCCGCTGCACCGGCTCGCGGATCACCTGGCGGAACCTCCTGTGGAACCCCTGCATTCGCGGCAGGTGTTCCTCGATGGACTTGGCCTTTCAGTTGGAACGGCGCCTTGGTACCACTTTTTGTCTCTTGGCCCATTTTTGCATCCACCGGAAGGAAGGTCGAAACAATGCCGCCCGGCTGTCGGTAGGGTGGTGCTCCTCCAGCAGCTTCCGGAACGTGACGGTGAGCCACAGGGTCGACACCTTCAGCTTCTTCCTGCGGCGAGCCAAGAAACGATTGTAGAGCTTCTTCTCGGCGGTAGGAAACCACCGCTTTAGCTGCTGTTTCGCGAGTAGCGTCTGCTTCACTTCGTCTGCGGCGCCCGCCACGATCTCGTTCTCCTCCTTGACCCACTTGCAGATGTTGGGGCGAGGGACATTCATGTGGGTTTCCAGGTACTGCAGAGGGGTGAGGTGCTCAGCCTGCCAGAGGGCTTGGCGGTCCTCCTCGAGGATATGCAGCTGCTGGAGCACGTGGGCTTCGAACCTATAGTCGTAGCGATTGCGCTTGGCAGCGCCACGACGAGCCGACTTAGGTTCAGCACGCGTAAAGCCGTCAGATTCCAGGTCAATGTCGGGGAGAGGGGTTCGGCTGGAGGACGAACGAAGCTGCCCCCGTGATGCCATCGATCTTCACGTGATAACAGCGCCCAGGTCCGGCGCGCTCCCACGGCTGGACGTCCCCTTTCGCATCGACTCCCAGCATCTGCTGCAGTCGCTGGCCTTGGAACATGTTTGGCCGTGCTGTGGTTGGTTTCATGTGGACCCCCAGGCCTGTGTGTTCACAAGGGTCGTCGGACAGTAGGGGCATCGCACACGGGAGGCTGGGGCCGGCGATGCAAAACTGACGCCGGACACATACTCCTGCACGCCAGCGCGAGTCCGCACAACCTACCGACCAATGGGAAAAGATGCGCATGCCATAAGTAGGTACACAATCAGCAAGTTTAAAAAAATCCATGCAGCAGTACCGACAGCAGTAGTAGAAGTTTACACACGCATTAACATATATGTGGCAAAAACTCCTCTGCTTCAACTTTCCGGGGCGGGCTGCCGGACACTGCAGTTATGTATGCCAATCAAAACTTCACAGTTTACAATGGCGTATCATGTGATGTATACACTCGTGACACTACAAAAATATAGACACGCGCCAACGAGAAGAGACGGACAAACACAAACGCGAAAAAAAACAACTGCTGTGCACATGCTGGAATGTACTCAGAAAATACCCACTGCCGCATACAGACAATTTTGAAGGGATTAATTGTTTGTGCAGAGTTTGCAGGGGCTCACCGGTTCCCCGCTGCCAATAGCGAACGAGTTGTAAATGTTCAGCAAGCCTTTACTGTCGTCCTCTCGTTGTCTCTTTCCTCGATTCGGGGCCCCGCGCGCCGCCGGAGCTGCTGCTGCTGCTGCTGCTGACCGCTTTCCGGATGCAGGCGACGCGGCAGCGTGGTCTGAACACAGTGTAGGGCGAGCGCTGCTGATGCCCGAGATGTCTCCATCAACTTGCGTGGTCCACTCTTCTGAGAACACGCCGCTGCTCCTCAGGTCCCACGCCAAATCGAAGGCCTCCCAGTCTTCGCTCGAGAGGGAGTTACCCTCCCTCACATATTTCTTGATCACCTCGTACTGTCGTTCAAGGATCACGCCCTTTGCTTTGAGTGCTGCGAGCTTCTGGAGCTCTCTCAACGTCGCCAAGGGCAGCGACATGGTCGCCCTTCGTGCAGACAGAGGGCTTGTTGCGTGGCGCGCACCCGAGGAAACCCGAGGGCCGCAGAAGCGAAGGGGGCACAGCGATGTCCCACACACACACCCTCCTGGTTCGCTAATTTTTAGGTACCCACTCTATGTTGTGGAAGAAAATACTGGGAGGGGGGGGGTGTCCTCATAGTCGTGTACTCATAGTCGTGCATGCCGTAGTCGTTAGACCATTGACCTCGCATCCCTACAAAGCCGGGACGGAGCACGCCGGGTTCTCACCGGACCAGGCTCTCACATCACCAAGCGCGAAGCGCCGTGAGATATTCGGCGAGTCGCATGAAGGGTGCGCTGCATCCTGCTAAGGGTGTTCGGCATCTTGTGCTTACTTCCTTGCGTACGGATGACAGCTGCGTATGAATTAATTTATTTTCTGGTGCTTTCACTTCCAGAGACAGTTGTAAGCACTGTCTATCTGCCTCGAGGGTGCTGGACCATTTTAACACAACGTGGTGCGATCATCCCCCTTGCGCGGAGCGAGTGTTTTCCACCCCGCACAACATGATCTACTCGACCACCATTATGGTTACCGCCAAAAAAAAAAAACGGAGGTAAAAAAGAAAAAACAGTAACCTGGTTGCCGAGTTCACGAAGTGAATTGGGCTTGTTTTACAACGTCGTTGCCAAGCGACGAAAACCCAATCCCGATGGCAAACACCGGGGGGGGCGGCTTGTTTTACAACGTCGTTGCCAAGCGACGAAAACCCAACCCCGATGGCAAACACCGGGGGGGGCGGGGGGGGGTAGGGGGTGACGCTACCCGCCGAAGTTCTTGTCTTCCAGCGAAGATCTGCAAGGGACCCCGTTCTTATCTTGACCTCGAGTTTGGACACGTCGATACGGGTTCTTGTTCTTATGTCACGTCAGAACTGAGCACCTGTTCTTATTGCCGAGTTCTCAAGTTTTGGATGTTTTGAGCCCCATGGAACATTTTGTGTCACGCAGATTGGTAAGATTGCCGTTTGGTAGGGGGCACCGCGATGAGTCACGGGGCCCCTCCTTGGTGTAGGAGCTGCCCATGTGGAACACTCCCTCTTTCGTCCGTGTGAAGGACGGTCGTCTACCTCTCGTGAAGTTAATACATCACCTAAACAGTCTCACCCTATAAATAAGTGGCGTAGGTCGCAAACACTCTTAGAGTAGTTTTTGCCGCTCGAGGGAAGCCAAATCGGGATGAGCTCTGCCGGGGATGAGATGCCTACCGCTGCGAGCGGAGAACAGATCCGTTCGCCAGTGGTGGAGGGCCGCGATGCAGAACTTGCAAGTTTGCAACGACAGATTTCGCAATTGGCGGCCCTGATGGAGGAGTCGGTGAAGAAGAAGGAGCCTGGCAGCGTCGTGGCGGATGCAGCCAGTAGGGGTGGCTGGGTTGCTGCCCCCAGAGGCCAACGAGAAGAGCCCACGCTGCCGCTCGGCGGTGGCGGGGGATTTCTCCAGCAGCAAACGAGAGATAGTGGGCAAGGACCACGGTCGCTGCTGGAAGGCGGCTGGGCCAGCAGATCGGGAGCGAACCCTGTTGGACCAGCCGGAGTGGNCGCCGCCACGGGAGGCCAACAAGAGCCGACGCTGCCGCTCGGCGGTGGCGGGGGATTTCTCCACCAGCAAGCGAGAGAT